AAAAGGAGAAGAGATGTTTTGAAGTATGAATGGTATAAACAAAAAAAGATTCAAACACATTGATATCAGTCACTCCAAGTATGTGATGGATTCCAAACCTTTAATGTCTGGCGTACCAAAGGCTGATCTCAATAAAAATATTGAGAAAAAGTGTTTGTCTTTGAAAGCATCTTCTTGTAGTTTCTTTTTTCCCCACAATCCTTACACATTTCCGAGGACATCCCAATTCTCTCTTTTCTATTATCTCTTTGACTTTATGAACAAAAAGAAAAGTGCATAAGTGCACGAACACCTGACTCTTTCAACTCTATTTTGAGATTTCCTCTTTCATCATTTCGAGAGAATATCAAAAAGTTTGTTTGGGGATTTTCCTTGAAATTTTCTCCCAGATTTAGCCTAAATTTGCCATATTTTTGACATATTTGTGTTGTGTTTGAGAAAAATTTTTGTTAAAGATCAATTTTTAATTACATAAACTCAAATTCTTTCTTTAAATTTTTCTTTAAATTTAACGATTTGTTCAGCTTTAGGTGTTCATAAAAGCTCAAGAGCCTTTGACGAATTTTATGTGGAAATTTTAGAGGTTTGACGTCTAAAGCAGCACATGGCATTCCTCTTTCAAGTGTTTTTTGCGCTCGAGAAAGCTCAAGTAATGAGTTCCACAAAAATTCTTCCCGAGAAACGAATTTTGGGGGAAAAGATTGAAAAATATATTTCAAGCAATTCCCAATTTTACCACAATCCCCATTTCTCAAAACTGGATACCTCAGCTTTTAGGCTTTATCTAGAAAGAAAACAAGTCGAAGGAGTGCATTTGTGTTTCAAAGTGGAGTTATTCGGAGAAGATTTATGCAAATTTCCCTTTCAAGTAGTGGATGATTGAATATTGGAGGAATAAAGATTGTCTTTGAAAAGTGGAGAGTTAGTTGAGGAAAACTAGAATTTCGATTCCAGCTTTCCTCAGCAAATTATCTAGTTGGCTAGGTGAAATTGGATAAAAATCTACTCAAATTGGAATTCAGCTATTCAGCTCAAAGCTACTCAAATTGGAATTGGAATTCGGCTGAGATCGAGTGGGATAAATGTTTAGAGTGTTAACTCAAGTATGATATTCATTCATTCTTTAACGTGTATTTTTTAAAGTACTTTCTACTTTAAAGTACAGGATTATCGTACTTCAAAAATTGTGCTAACTATAATATAAGACAATGTTAAACGTTTCTTTTCTCCAAAATAATTTCATCAACAATTTTTCCTCCAAATTCTTCATTTCAAAAACTTTTCCCAAAAATGTTTTCAAGATCGAGTTTCGTTTCTCTTGATTCACCCCGTTTCTCATAAAAACATGATTGATTTTTCAACGTCGATTGATTAAAAGTTGAAACACTTGGGTAAAGAACTTTTTATCGAAAAATTGCTATAGATCGGTAAGAGACGGGGAATTTCTGAGTAGAAAAAAGGTAAACTTTGAAGAAAAGAAGAGCACTCAAATGGGAAAAATAGGAAAACTTCTCTCACATCAGAACTGACTAACACTTATTGGTGAGAATTTGAGGAAAGCAAAAATATTTGTGAAGAAAAGAATTGATTGGTTTGATTGGTTTGATTGGTTTGATTTGATTGTTCTGATCGAAAAGGTGGGTCTGTTCATTAAACATAAAGCAACTGATTACAATCACTGTAAGGCTTGTAAGATTTAGTATTTCAATCCAATTCAAAACTCCTCTATATTTGAGCGATATTGGAATTCTGATTTCTCAATCGTAATGATCGTTTCTTATGATTCATCTTTTCAATACAATTCTTAGCTGTTCATTTCAAAGAAAGCGAGCCAAAAATTATATTTTTGTAGTGTCTCCTTGGTTTTTTCGAATAGAAAAAGCTTTTATTCTCCTTTTGTCCATTTTACGGACTTTTGATTCTTTTTCTTCATCCATCCAGGAAACATTCACATTGCTTATGAAAAGAATTTTTGGCTAAATGAGGAGACTTTTGGATTAAGAGGAAAATATTTGAATACAGTTTTGTCACAGAATTGTTATGAAAAACATTTTAAGTAAAGGTTTTGCAAAGTCATTTACGGTTTTAGGACTTTGGAAGAGATTTTAGGACTTTGGAAGAGAACATGACGGAAATGACAAAACTTTTAAACTGAACTTACCGCGGTGGATAGACAGTCATCTCGTCGAAGCACACCCCGTTGGTCTCAAGGGAAATCAAGGAAGAAATTCAAATGGAAAATTTTCGAAGTAGTCGATAATCTGTGATAATTTTATGAATTTGCCGGATAAAAGATGGAGAGATCATGTGAAGCTGAACGAAGAAAAAGAGAGACGAAAACAGTGAGAGAAAAGGAGGAAAAGAGGAAAGGAGATTGGGAGATCTCTCCAGGTTTCCCGGGGGATTTCGTCTCCCGGCCCGGTGTGTGTCCCGAAAAAAGAAGGGGCAAAAAATTCCTTTCTTTGATCCATGTTTTGGTGGGAAGGGGAGGGGCTGCGTCTTTAGACTCTCTTTGAAAAAAGAGAGGAGAAAAGAATAACCGGTAAATAAAAGAAAATAAATAGAGAAGAGGAAAGTTTCGATGGATAAATGGATATTATGGATTCTAGAATTTTGAAAAATAGAGAAATATTGAGAGAATGATAGAAAGGAAGTTAGGGACAGCAACTTGGAGTTGAGACTTTTAGGAGAAAAGGTTTGAGTTTTTAGATAAAAGGACAATTTAGATTTTAGCATGTGGGATAAGATACAACGAGAGTAATAAGAAATATTTAGGGAAAGAGACATTTGGAGAAAGAGACATTTAGGAGAAAAAGAGGTGAAGAGTTTTTGGCCTGAGAGATGCAAGACAGAAATATTGAGGAATAGAAAAGTTAAGATCAAAGAGGATATTCTGGATTGGGGAATATGAAGCAAAGGAGAGATTTAAGTAGAATATAGAAATATTGAGGTGAAAGATGTGGAGAAGAGCCAGAGATAGACAAAAGTGAGGTAGGGGTGAGAGGGAATTGCGTGAACCACGGCCCGACTCTTTCCCTTCCCCAAATGAAGCCGTTTGTTCTCACCCATAGAGAAAGGCTCTTTTATGTTTTTGTCTTTTCTTTTCCTCATGGCAAATCCTTTAGTCCCAGGGTCTCTTTTAACGAACTTTTCGGAGGGAGTGTAGCCGTTTTTTCAGCTTTCTCCCGCCTCGTTTTTCTCGTATCCCTTTTCCCTCAAAAAGCGGCATGACCCTCGGATCTTTCCTCTCCAAATGAATGCTCTGTTGCCGCAAAACAGCTGTGGAACCATGAAAACTTTCTGAAGAGGAGAAAGATCATGATTCTTGATTTCTTTGACACATAGATAACAAAGAGTCACATGATAGATCTTTTAAAGTTTTGATCAAAAAACTGGATCATTTGCAAGGAGTTTTGAAATCCATGTACATATGTGAGCTATGTGGATTCACTGACCGTTTCCCACAAGTTATTAAAATATTCAGCCAAGTTGATGCATGAGAGGAAACTCTTGGAATTCATGATTTCTAGTAAACGCGATTCTCAGTTTATCGAAAACTTCTCTCATAAAGCTCAGATTATTTCTGAGTAATTTTATATTTATTTTATGTGTCCATTATTTCTCAAGAGTTCTCGAGTTATTATCATGTGTTAGGTGAGGTCAATCGTGGAAAAAAATGAACAGCTGATTCTATCATATTCCTTGGTTTTTGTGTAAAACTCATCAAACATACAGAAAGAAAATACATGAATTGATTGGGTGAAGAAATGAGAGAATAAAATGTCCTAATTGTAAGCAAGTAACTGCAAAGGAGATGTTATTAACTTGAATGTATGTATCAAGAAGGCTTTTTGCAGAAAAAGTTGGCAGTAAGTATGGCATGTGAAAGGATAATGAGAGGCAAATATTGGCAGGAAGCCTATTATTATACATCAGCCGAAAAAAATTGAATGCTTTGGGGCTGACGCATAGTTTTGCCGTGGCGCAGTCGGGAGCGCGCTTGTCTACGGCCCACACGATCACACGACCCATGGTTCGACCCCCCGCAGTGCCACTCAATGTTCACTTTTTGATTTCTGATTTTAATTGACACAACTACAGTGTATTCTAAGGTTTTCTAAAGAAGTTTTAGCTTTATTGGTCAAAACACGGCTGAGAAAATACCCGCACAGACAGACAGACACTGTTCTTTTATATATAGTAGATTTTCTTTCGAAAACTTACTATTAGAAAAAAACTTTGTTCAAAGACGTCTGGAGTCAATTTTTCTTCCGTAGTCAAGTTAGAGAAGCTAACAAACTTTAAATGCATAATTTTTGTTCGGCACTGACCAGCGACAATTAGCAAAACTTCTAAAATGAACTCAGATTTTAGGTAATCTTTCCAAAACCTCATAATCTTTTCTCCTTTGCCAACCAGGATTCCCCAAAAAAAATTGTCTTATGAAAGCGGGAAGAAAAGAGGGAAAAACGAGGGTTGATTGGAATTGTTTGATCACTTTTTTCATCCCGCTTTTCGTGCATTGGTCACACTCAAAATTCCTCTCAAAGAACACTCAAAGAAAAACATTGAAATCACAATTTTTTTGCCAAGGACTCTAAAAAGCAAAAGGATTTTTGTTTGGTGAAATTGGATTTTTGAGAAAACTTCAAAAAAGAAAGAATCGATGGTGACCAAAAAGGAGAATCTTTGTTGTTTTTGATTGAAGATTTGAAAAAAGGAAAGGAAAAGAATAAACATTATTCTCAAAAAGAAAGCAACTGTTTGAATAAAAGATTTTGAGGGGATTATGGGTGTTCGGTAGGAATTTCAGAAGGGAATCTATGAGGTGACACGACAAAAATATCGACCACAACCGTAAAGCCAAGAATGACGTATTGGCATTGTTTTATAATCCCTTTCCGTATCAAATATCTTGATATTTGACTCATTACCGTAGTTGGTTGTTGAATCAAACAAAAGTTTACCACACAGAAAGCGAAACGAAAATTAAAACTCACTCAGTGAATGGTTGCTTTGGTGGTGGTGGTTGTTGTTGATTATATTGGATGATCTCTTTCTCGTAGACAAAAGTCTTCACGTTGTTCTCACCGAATGACACTCTGAAAATTGATAAGACTGTAAAAATATTAATTTTTCTGCAGTGAGTTATGTTTCTTCAATAGTATTACTTTTTCTGTTGTCGACGCCAATTCAATCGCGATTCGGCGAGTTTTCTCATTCTACTGTGAACTTAACTCCCTCGGGAGCGAGGGAGACCAAGTGCCCTGTGTTGCAATGGTTAGCACGGCTGGCCAGTGATCGGGAGTTCCCGGGTTCGAGTCCCGGCAGCGCAATTGTTCCAACTCTGCACAAATTGAACACCCAAAACTTTTGCTCGAATTTCAAATGTCAAAATTTAAATCATCGTATCCAGGAGAGATGGGAGGAAATGGAAATCGGCAAAAAAATGGATGATCTCTTTCTCGTAGACAGCAGGAATTTTGTGTTTGAAGAAAATGATACGAAAGGGATTTCTGCAAGACTTTGATTATAAAAATGATGTAAGGAAAATTGTGATGATAAATTGTTGTTCCTTTTGAAGTCAAATCTTGTTAAGACTAATTCAATGGAGAAGGAAATTTGCATGTGTCACTCTTATGTAGTCTTCTCTTTCATTGACACGATGTTCGGGTCAATTGGATAAAAGAATTTGAAGAGGAAGGGTCGGGACAAAAGAAAGGAAGAATGGTCTAAGAACTAGCTGTGTGCCGAATATTTCGGCCCTTTCTACAAGAGAGTTTAAGTGCAAGTTAAAACTCACTAAGCTGAAAATCAGACAAAGTTGAAGCATACTGTAGCAGTCTATTTAAGTTCGCATTTTGTTGTCTCTAAGAGGATTTTCGTCACAATTTCACCAACAAGTTATCCAAAGTTTGTTCATCACTCATTGAAGTGATTCAAGTATTTTACAAGTTCACTCTTCTCATATCGGAAAGTAGTATAAGTACTAAAGTTGTGGCAACTTTAGTACTTGTTCTACTTTATATCAAGTTCGCAAATATGATTGTTGTTTGTTATTGTTGTTGTTGCTGTTTGTTGTTTAATGATTGTCTAACCCGCTTTAGAAAAATAGTAAGCTATATTCAACGCAAAGTATACGCAATCGAGCCAGGAAAGCTCGAAAGACAGAATAAAAGGCAAGCGGCAAAAAGCCATCTCTACTATATATAAAAAAATTTTCTCTCCGTCCGTCTGTCCGTCACGCTTTTTCCTCTAAGCCCCCACTGAACCGATTCTGTTAATTTTTTTGATGGTAGATATAAATAGCGGAAAGACGGCGAAAATGATAAAAAATATGAAATTCTCAAACTTTAGTACGTTTTGGACTACTTACGCTTTTACTCTAAATTGGAATGCAGAATCGCGCAGAGTGTTTAGATTTCAATTTTGTTTTCAGATTTGGATTCCTCACAAAAAAGGTAGGGGGTAGGTAAAAAGTTTTCGAAATAAGAGTTGTGTGGGTGGAAAACTAGATATTTGAACGTTATAACTGTTGCACACCATCACCATTGCCCCCTAGCCATAAATGATAATTTACACGCTGCCACTATAAATGCTAATTTTTGCTGCTTTTCTGCTGGTCACTCAAGCGCCTCTTTTATTTTGTATAAGAGGCAATTGTTTTCTGTTCCAAAAACGCATCATAATCCAGATCAAGTACAGTCAAGCTATGAGCGAAATTTTGATATTCTTTTATCTTATTTAATTTTTCATCTAAAATTATGTTTTGAAATGTTTTTTTTTGGCGAAGACCTATTGTTTTCATATTTTTACCTCAAATGTATTCGTGTATCAAATTTCTTCTCACTTTGGGAACTCAAAACTTTTACAAACAAACACCCAAAAACTTTTTGTATAATATAGCTGTGCACTGAAGCCATACCAAAACTAATGTCTCACCTTTTATGGTTGATATTGTGCGGTGGAGAGATTGGAGGTGACACAGCCACATCTCCCATTGTTTTTGTGAGTAGCGTTTTTTCTTCGAAGATAAGAAGTTTGTAACAAGTCTAAAATAAAAACCTTTACCACAAATTGTATCATTTGAGAAATAATGGCAAAGCGTAAAGAGAAAAAAGAGGGCGAAAGCACGTGTGAAGAGTCCCTATAAACAAATGGATCGGTGAAGAGAAGGGGAAATCCACGAAAAGAAGTGAAGAGAAGTGAAAACATATGGAAAGATTTGAGTCCCTTGGGAGAGGGCTAGATTTGATAATTTTGTTTATCCATGCTTTGAATTTGTCTGACAAGGGTTCAGAAATCCTCACAAACCAAGAGATTTGTTTGTTACCAGAAAGAAAGTCGACGAAAGAAAGCTTAGGTTAAAAATAAACAAACTTCGAGCTTTAAAAAATTCATTTGGAAATACTCCAAAATGTATGAGGTGAGAACTCTTAAATTTGAGTCCAAATGAGAAAACGCAATTCAAGCACACCAATGCTTTGTTAACAAAAAGATAAGAGACAAGCCGAGGCACTCCAAAAAAGAGAATGTAAACAAAAGAAGCGAAAAAGTGAAGAGAAAAGAGAAAGAAAGAGAAATCAAAAAGAAAAATTTGGAGCTAGTTCAATTGGGTCTGTTTGACAAAATGTTGATGTTACCTAAATAGACTCAATCAGTGATAGTCAATAGTTGTTGAGTATTGCAGTGATCTTCTCACAAAGAGAGACTCAAATATGACACGAGTATTTGTTCTGTTGACCATTCTCGAGTGGAGAAAGAGCTCCATTTCGGGGGTGACTGAGATAGGGAAGAATAGAGCTGAAAGGGTATTGTGAGAAGGGTGAGTAAGCATTCATGTCTGTTCGGGTATTATAATATCATTCAAACTTTTCAAAATTCAATGGACAATGGAAATTTTAATCAAAAAGGCTACGTAGCAGGCAGAAATCTGTTTGATTTCAACCGATTTCAACAAAACTATGGACGGACGGACGGAGATATTATTTTTTAATGTAGATGCTTAAATGGTGATTCAACATAACAAAAACACATAATTAATTCAATCAGAGCATTGAGAATATCATTAGTACTAGACCGTAGAAATCTAACCAAGAATTAGAATCAACCCTTTGATATTTCTCTATTTCTTTCTTTCTTTTCTCTTCAAAACGAGAGATTCCTTGTAAAATGGCGCCCTAGATTTCACATTTTGACCACAACCATCCATTTCTTCTTTTGACTAGATTTAGGAAAATTGACGAGAAAGGAGAATGAGAGAGAAAATGGAAAGAACCAAGGACAACCATCCTCACAAATCGTTTGATCTTGTCTAATAGGCAAAATGCTTTCAAAGTGTGAAATTCCTAGACAAAGCTACCGTAAAAATTCTAATAGAAGACCACCGCTTGACCCCCTGAAATCGGGACTTTTTGAAACTTCTTTTTAGGTAGAATGATAGATTAGGGTCCAGATAGAAGTATTTTAGCCTCAGCAGTAAAATTGGAAACGTTTTCTATGGGGTTAAGAAATGAATCCTACTTTTAAACACACTTTTGGCACGTTTTAGGCCAAGGGCTATCGTTTGAAATGGTTTGTAAGAATTTTTAAGTTTTTGATTCATTTGGGGGAGCTTTATCGCCTTTTTTGACCGACCAATTTTGGGGGCTTGAAAATTAGAAGACCATGGTCTTCTATTAGAATTTTTACGGTAGGTAGTCCCGAAGGATTTTGATCAGAAACATCTATTGGTAAACCTCTGTAACTTTTGTACAATAGCTTTAAGGTTCTCCACACATCTTTTTTAAGTCAGCTGCAACATAATTTTTGGGAGACTCTAGATTGAAATTTCAATATTCAAATCGGTTTAGCCAATTCGAAAGATCGAAATTCCCAATTTATTAGCTTCTTTCGATAAAATCTCTCTCAATCTTTCTTTCCCATTTTTTCATTTGATCTCTCTCCAAAAAACATGTTTGCTAATTTATTGCCACTAATGAAAGGCAGGAAATGGATACGAGATGGGCAAAATGAAATAATGCAAATTTTGAACTAATCGACTTCAACGGGTTCAAGGGCTTGATAAAAACTGTTCTTTGCATCACAAAAAAACGACACTTGTTGCAATTTCTAACAAGGCTGACTAAAAGAAAAGATTAGACATTGATGGATTTGTTTGGAAATTCCAATGAAAGATCCAAAGATTCCAATCTAGTTCAATCAAAGAAATTGACAAAGTTATATTTAGTTGATAAAAAACAACCGTTCAGTTTCAATTCAGTTAAACAAATGAAAAGCTTGTGTAAAGCAGTAAACCAAAAGAATTACAAGAGATTTGAGCAAAGAGGAAAAACGTGAATCCGATTGGATCAAAGATCGATCGGTTGTGTTTTTTTTGCATGTTTGATGGTGTCTCGATTTCTCTCCGATTCCACTCAATTCTGTTTCTTTTTCACAGACGATTTTCCATAAATTCAGGGCTCTGCTAGAGATCGCTTTTTCTACTCTTTTTTTGTGTCTCCGTTTGATGGGGATTCCAAGCATGAATGGGGATGAAAATGAAAAGATTTAAAGAGGGGAACTCATGAACCATCCACTCTTTGCCCTCACAGTGAACACAACAAACAATTACCTGACCACCGTGGCTCAAGGCCATCCCCACACCGACTACCCAAAGGATATCTCGGTTTTCGAGAGTCTATCGAAAAATTTATACTAATGCAAAATGCAAAACAGAATGCTTAATATTAGGCTATCGAGAAGGCTCTTCGTTCCTTTTCGTACTTCCGTTTAAAACCAACAAATGCATCAATTGAACTACGGGTTGTTTCATTAGAAAGGCAAATTATTTTTCTGTAAAATAACATTAAAACAGGTTTAAAATGTCTTATATTTGGATTTTTTTGGGAGCGTGAAGTCGGGTAGTCAAAAAGGACGACGGTTCGATGATCCGGTTTAAACGCTTTAGCTAAGGGAACCTATCTTTGTGTCAATAGATAAAAGATAGAGCACCAAAAGTTAAGTATATAGCCAAATTTCCAGAGAAATTCATTCAGCCAATAGAGGTTCATATAGATTTTTACGAAAAATACGTGTTTTCACTCTCGAATTTTCTTGAAAGTGAACCCAAATTGACTTAAAAAGATGGGAAATTGAACAATAAACACTTTTTATTTAGAGAAAACCATAGATTAATTGGTGAATTTGTTATTTTTCAACGGAATTATGAAAAGGAACGAAAAGACTTTTTGGACAGTCTAAATATTCTAATAAATGTAGATCTACTCAATTTCCTTCTATTGGGTCACTTTGCGTTCATATTCGAGGCTCCTTTGCTTTTTTGGGGTTTGGTTTGCTCCAAATAGTTATTTTTAAACGGAAGCATGAAAAGAAACGAAAAGACTTATTCGCCAACCTAATATTATAGACTTAAATCTTCCGCCTTTCAATCTTTCCAAAAGTGCACTATACTTCTAGTAATTCTAGGACTTGGCTCAAAAAGTGTACAGTTTTCCGTGACCCTTCATAAAATTTCAATGAGATGTTTCAGTCTGCATATTCTTGGTGGTGTTGCCTAGTGACGAAATCGGCAGAGTAAAATAGGAAAAAATCGGAAAGTTCGTAAATAGCTAAATCGCTGAAAATGAAAGTTGGAAATTAACTTTGCAACGAATGATTTGGTTGGAAAATTGAGGAAAAATTTGATGGGATTGGAGGCAAAGGAAAATCAAAGAGAGATCTATGTAATGTGACAACAAATCAACCTAGACAGCAAGAAAAATCTCGAGAGATGAAAAGAAAGAAGGAGGAAAAGAAGAGGAAAAACTTTGGTTCTGGTCAACAAAATCTTTTGAGAGTTTTGAGAGTTTTACCTCGACGAAAATGTGACCATGATAGTTCAAAAAGAATTGCGAATAGAAATGTAAGGGAAAATTGATTGCGAACTTTATAATCCTTGTAAAATGATACTAAAGGAACAAACAAGCCCGTTTTAAAAGAATATTCACCGTCAAGCATCAATTACGAGAATGAAACGGAACAAACGGAACAATCATTGATTGTGAATGCGAATGAAAAAAGGAAAAGAGGAAAGAGCGTAACTTTTAGCCGATTTTTTTCTTTCGTTTTTTTTGCTTTTCTATTTCATTCCCGGGCATTTTTTCGGGGTTTTTGTTTGGCTTTTCACATCGACGGGATGACGGAAAAGAAAATAAAGAAAAGAAAGAAAAGAAAGGTGACTCTCGTTCAGAGGTAAAGGGGGGAAATGCGGGAAAGTAAGGGACACGTAAAGAAAGGGGAAAGGGACACGTGAACGCCCCCATAAAAAAGACGAGGAAAATACATAAACTTTTTAGAAAACCCAGTAAAAAGGCTCAGGAAATGCATAGGTGTTTTAGATTTTCTGTAAAATCGAATTTTGGAAAATGTAAGTGGCGATGGAATATTGAAGAGAAAGATGCGTTGTTTGGTAATAGAGAAATGCTAATGAGATACTTCTTGTACTTTAATTGGATTTTGGTCTACCAGTTTCCTGCAACAAATGATTAGAAACCAAAAATCCAAATGTAAACACCAACAAAGTTTTAATCAAGCAAGGATCCGGTGGTGTTTTCACAGAAAAGCCCCAAAATTGGATGATGAGGCGATGTTTGTTGGGTTGAGAAGGGGAGGAAAAGCTCCCTCTTTCGGATGTGTGGATGCGTGTGGTGTGTGTCTGTTCTCTTCTTTCTTTTTCTAAAAAGATGCCAGAGAATGCGCTCTTTTCCATCCCCTCTTTTGAAATCGATGCCCACTCCGTCTCTTCTTTCTCATCTGAAGACTCCAAAACGAGAATAAGCATGGAAATGCCCAATCCCCAAAAAAGCAAAGGAGGCTCGAATATGAACCCAAAGCAAAACGAGTTGATAGAAGGAAACTGAGTAGATTTATGAGTATGAGATACAGCTAACATCTAGTTAACTATTAGGTTGGCAAAAAAGAAATGAGCGTCTTGTTTGTTGATTTGTATTTTATTCACAGT